CAGCTAAGGGAATGAGGGTCTGTACACACAGTCTATTCACTGTCCCTGTCCTGAACTTCTCCTCCCAAATCAAATCTCCACTACCCCCACCCTGATTCTGCCTGGTTACCTTACTCCCCAATTTCACTGAGAAAATAAAAACTACCAGAAAGTTAGCACCACTTCTAACCTAGCCACATCCTCATGTATTCAGCAAGAAACAAGTGGGATTGTTTGGTGGTTTTCTGCAGGTGTGTACAGCCCTGAGAACTACTGTACTGTCCTGGACGGGGGTTTTGTTAGGTGAGGGTGACAAAAGGTGTTGGAGACAAAGACCAAATAATTATAAAATTAGAACTGTGAGCCACTGTGCTCTTTATAGCTCTTGAGAGTGTAAGAAGTGCCCTGTGTCAAAGTCAGATCCTGCCAGTTTCATAGCCTGGCTTGGCCTTGGCGGAGGTCCAAGAGGGCAGCAGCTGGCATTAACCTTAGGATTAGAGATGTACTCAAACCAGCAGGTTCCCTTAAGTGTCCATTCTACATCTTCCCTCTGCACTTACCCAAATCTTTTTCTTTTTAGCCTGTATCAACCCCAGGAGAAATGTGTTATCTACTCAATATGCAAAGGTGCTGTTTTAATTCTTTCATAGATTAGCCTAAATTAAAATGGGAAAAAGATTGGTTCCTCAATTGTATCTTTCTAGAATGACAAGCTCCTGTTTTAGCCTAACTATAATTAACAGTGCAAATTTATGTAGCATCTTCAGTATACATACACACACACACATATGCACACATGACTACAATTCACATCCACATCTGTATTGGTCACCTTTCTCATTGCTGGAACAAAAAATACCTAACACCCAAAACTTAGAGAAGTGGTTTCTTTCTGGCTCTCAGTTTCATGAGTTCCAGTCCGTGGTCAGCTGGCTCCATGGCAGAAACATCATGGGCCAAGAGTGCGGCAGAGGAAAGTTGTTTAACCCATGGCATTTGGGAAGCAGAGAACAGGAGGAGAAACAACCTACAGGAATGGGTCAGGGCTCAGATGTAATCCCCAAGCTCACATCCCACATTTCCTCTAACTAGGCTCCCCTCCTAACAGACCACTCAGCCACCAGCTTGTCAGTGGGTTAGTCAATAGGTTTATTCAGTGCCTCCATGATCCGATCACCTTCCAAAAGCTGTGCCTCTGAGCCTTTTAGGTCTAAACCATTTTTAAAGCATCTTTTTCAACAAAACTGCCTGTTCACCACTGAAGACAGCACATAAGAAAGTTTCAGCTGGGCCTCATGGTGCACACCTGTAATCCCAACACTTAAGAGACTGAGACAGGAGGATTGTGAGTTCGAGGCCAGCCTGAGCAACACAGTTAAGACTCTATCACCAAAAAAAGGAAAAAAGAATGTTCCTTGCCTTGAAGGAATGAACTCCTAAATATGCAATCTACAGGCTAATATGGGATGAACATAGGAGGAACTAGTAGATGCAAGAAAGGGCCAGGTAAGAAAATCAAGGACAAGGATAAGATTATTAGTCCTCTTTGCTTGAAGACATGAATTGTGATTAAAAAAAACAAACAAAAAAACATAAAAGCCAACACCAAAGAACTTTGAAAGTAGAAGGCCTAGACTTTGGCAATATTTAAATGAACTATTTAATCTCATATTATTTCTTTAGTACTAGTAACCAAAAAACCTGCAGAAAAAATTCAAAGAATGTGTTATATACTCAGTGTGTACGTAGTGTGCAAAAGTGTCCTGCTTGGGAAACGCTGCCGAGAGCAACACAACTCTAACGGTCACAGCTGAAGCTCTTAACAAGCGTGCCGGTGCTGGTGGACAAAGCCACGGCTGAAGCTGAGGCCAAAGCAGGGATCTGAGCAGACACAACTCCCAGGAGATGCAACAGTTTTCTACAATCTTTCTAAATAATCTTTCGACCCACTGCTATGGACCCCTTAGGACTGGGAGCCTAATAAAGTCTGTGGCCTATGAAAGCTATTTAGAAAACTTTTCTGAGAAGGTTACACAAGTATATTGTCCCAAGGTCTGTGTAACTAAAAGTTATAACCTACTCCTTAGGGGATATCTGGATTTTAACAGATCTTAAGACTATCTTTATATAGGGGAGGGTTTTGTAGAGAAAAAGTAATCCAATTGTATTCTTCTAAAATTTGTGTATTTAAATCTGCTGTGATAATTCCATACTATCATAATAGTAATTACCACCATTTATATTTTAGACACTGGGCTAAGCACTTTATACACATCATCTCAGTTAATCCTTGCACAAACACTGTCAGTCAGGTATGATTATTCCTATTGAGAGAAAAAGAGTTGAGGGTCCCCTGAGCTAAATGACTTCTCACAATCACTAAATGGCAAAGCAAGCGTTCACATCCAAGGCCCCATCCATAAAGCCGGTGTGTACTGAGTAACCACACTACAGATAAATAGAAAGAGACACAGATATGTTTTTAAAGCACTACGTTCCCCTCTCCAAGTTATCAGTTTTCAAATGGATCAATATCAACATTATAACAACTTGATTAACCGATCTATGCCCAGCAGTTCTCCCTAAGAAAATCTTTATCAAATGATCACCTTTAAGTCCAGAGTATGTCAAAAGGGGTGAAAATTGCTACTGTTCTTTGATCACAATTACTTACTGGTGAGACCCAGAGTATTGAAAAAGAAAGGTGAAATAGGTTTTAAGATCAGACGGCCTTCCCCACTATTTACGGAGCCCAGAATAAACCTCTGATTGCATTATGATTAAGCATCAATGGTTTTCATTTACTCCAACTCACACTCAACTCATTATTTCTGATATCGTAACCCTGCCAGTGATACAGGCTGCCAAGTAGTCCACTCCACTTCAGGCTCACCTTTGGTTCTCTGGTAAACCCATAAAATCTGTATTTATGTATTTGATAGCCTCAGATTTTAATGGAAAAAGAGTTAGCATATTAATAAAATGTTGTTTAGTATATACAAGTCAAATATAGGCCATTATAAAAGGGTTATTTTCTCAAAACAGAATTTTGAAAAGCAATCACTGTCCACAGCAGACTATACACAGACATGAGGAAATTGAAACTTAAAAGTTAATTAAAATGAGCAACAGAAATCCAGTTTAAAGGTAGCATTTGAGAAATGTTGCCTAAAGAAGCTTTCCAAGAATATAAAATATTAAAATGAAGATAATGGCTAAAATGCAACTCTCCACTTTAAAACAATCCTTTAACAGTTTTCTTTCCACTTTTCTTTCACTTTTCTTTCCAGAGTAAAAATCTTGATAGCAACAAGCAAACATCTACCTAGGCCTTCACTTTTTTCCTCTTTCACTTAGTCAATAAATTGTTATTTTCTAGGTACTCTTCCAATAGCTGGTTAAACTTCCCAAAGGAAACGAAGAACCATTACAAGTTCTTTATAAGAACTATGTAAATTTATTTATATGCATACAAAGTATTTTAGCAATATATATCCAGCTGGTCCATTAAAGATCCAGCTCCTCGGACGCTGCCAGCAGAGCACCCAATGGACACTAAATATGAGCTGAGGCCTCGTGGCCATGGACTTAAGAGTTGTTATTTCCTCCCCCGCATGAACAGTTGTAATAAATACACATTAGTAGTTTGTATCCATATACATAGTATTTTTTATTGACCTGAAATCCAGGTTCTTTATTATTAATATGTGCTTAGAAATTTGAGAAAAGCAAAAATGAGTATCTTTTGTTTTTAGAAAGTTATTACTGCATAAAACAAGAGAGATTAAAAATCCCAAAGCTCTAGGGCCAAGCTCTTTATTATACATGCACAATTTTTAAAGTCCCATAAAAATCTCAACATCTGACCCATTTCATTTTTACAGGGAAGAAACTATTACAGTGGAAAATATGCGTTAAAATCTACAGCATTCAGAGGCATTAACCAGTTTTACTTCCCATTTGTTTGCTGTCCCCTCCATAGGAAACACATTCCTCTGTCGCACACACCGTAGCACCTGCTACTATAACTCTACCCTCAAGTCAGCTCTGGCCTCTTTCTCAGAAGAGGATTCGAGCCTCTTTTTGAACTGCTGGCGTAATGCTGCCACCTGCTGTTCACTGCGGAGAACGTAAAGAAATTATCCTCCAAAGAAAGGGAGACATTTAAGAGCAATTTTATTTAAATAACAATGCCATAATTATTTTGTTTTAAAGTAGAAGTTATTCTACAGAAATTTTAGAGTCTTCATCTAAACTTTAAGTTTGGTAGTTCTGATTTTCTGAATACTATAGTTCTGATATTATCTAAATTTTAATCTATTTTTATAATATAAAGAGAAAACATTAAAAATAATAATCATGTATATTGATTGTTTTTAAAGATTTGTAAGATGTTCTCAGGAAATTTCTTTCTCTCAGAAAATTCCAAATCTGTAAACCCACAGAGATGGGAATACAAATAAGGGAAATGTAACAACTATGACAACAGAAATTAGTTTTATTTGCAACTTTAAAGCAGGTATAAAAATGTTTTCAAAAATTTCTTTTTAAATTTAGATAGAATCCAAATACATATCTACAAGACAGTAGCTGTCTTCCTGTGCCCATTACTGGTGTAATCACTAACCCTGGATGTCAGCACAATCGTGTGTCCGGGCTGTCTTCAGATGGGAATTGTCCTCTGGTGTAGGATGCTCGTTCAGTAAGGAGACAATGAGTGTCACTTTCCTCTCTCACTGCAAACAACAGCAACATTCTACCAACAGTGCCACAGAATGGATACTTAACCGAGCATCCCATGCATATATATAAAAGTTCGATTCCTCTACCAATCAACTCTGAGTGGCAATACTCCTCATTTAAAGTTACTTATACATTCTTATGGAAATCAAGGCTAATTTATTCACTTTTTAAGTAGCAAGACAAAACAGCTAGATGTCATTTTTTTATAAAAGATTATACTTCCAGACAGGTTTTCTTTGAATCAGTCTTTTCTGGACATACTGCCCCCCTCTCCTCACCGTTCTTTAAAGCCAGCTCCTTGGTGCTGCACCTTGGTTCACCTGCATCGCTCCCCTCCGGAAGGTGCACAGGGCTCTCTGCTGCAGCTCCCTGCTTCTGGAGACATGGCCCTTTGGAACCACTGTTGTTGGCCTGGACGATATGGAACATGTGCAGTTCAGGAAAATACTGCCCAGCAAAACTCAAAGGACAGAGCACGGCAAATGGATGGCCTGTGGTATGTTCACACACATTAGTTTTGTCAAGCATTCCTCCAAATCTGTGCGTGCTTCCTGTGGAAACCAAGTGGACTGACATTTTTAGATTATTTCTCAAGCACTAAAAAGTAATAACTTTCACATAGCATCTTTACAGTTTTCATATCTGGTATTCTTCACCAACACACACACATCGATTTATAAAATGTACTCTTTCTACATATGTTAAATGCAGAATATTATAATCCTTACTAAAATGACAAATCCTATGGTCATTTAGTTAATCCATTCTTTCAAAGGCTTCCTGGGGCATATCCTGTGACTTGAGGTTCTAGCTTAGTCAGAAAATGATGGAATCAAACTAGATCATTTCTCAGATCTCTTACATCTTAAAAAATGATCCAAACTGCAGGTAGACTCTACAGGGGGGAAATATTGACACCTCCAGCAAGAGACAGTGTCTTCTTCAGAAACACAAAAGAAAGCAGGTGACATCTTAGTCAGGACACATAATTACTTCTGGAAATTAAGACACGCAATATGCTAGCAGAAGCGTGGTGGCGACTGACTTTCAGGGAAATTATCACAGCTGCCATCAAGGCCTACTTTAGATACCAGTATCAAAGAATATCACACACTTTATAAAGCATACGACAACAGTTTCCTTTAACTACCTAACTTCTGTTATCATTTCACAATAAACTAGCTTTCAGTGGTGATTATGATAGCTACTGTATTTGCTCTTTTAAAAACGCCAATGAGTCTCAAAGAGAGCCCAGGATTACACGAGCTACTTCCTACTAGACTCTCCTTTAAGCACTAAAATTAAAATGAAGCAATTTAGGAGTTTCTTGGCAAAATATTGTGATAAAAAAATGTACTTTTCTTGCATAATTCCTTAACTCCTATTATCAAGACAAATCAAAAAATGACAGAATACCAAAATCATAGGACAAGGTAAAAAGCAGACAGTCTGCGGGATTTTGGTTTTATGTATGTTATTTATATGCTGAAAGGATGGATTTTTTTGTGTGTGGTAGTTTTCTTATTTAGGCAAAGCAATATACATATTAAATGTATCATTTTCCCTAAATGTTTACATTTTTATCCAAACTACCTTTTTAATTTTTAACTGACAAATAACAATTGTGTATGTGCATGTAAAGCTCTCAAAGATTCAATCAAGCTACTTAACATATCCATCAAGCTCCACTCTTCATTTCCAGATCTGAATGTCTTAGAGAAGGTAGCACTGAATTGTACGGGTAGGATAACATTTGACTTTGATGACCTAAGAAACCTTTTCAGCACAGTAATACAAATACATGGACTGGATATTTTGTTGTTGTTTCATAGTTGAGCATGTGTTTGTTTTGCTATTAGTTGTCATTTTTTAAAACTTTTCTTTATACATGTTTGCAGTACATAATAATTACATTCACTGTAGGGAACTGGAACATAATACATTTCAATCTTTTTTTTCCCCTTTCCTTCCACCCCACTTTTATTTCTCCAATATCAGATTTATTTATCTCATAAGACTTTATAAACTTCATTATCATACAGATTGAAAACCAGACTAATTGGCCAAAGAACATATAAAACATGTAAGACAATTGTACTATATCCTACATCAAGGTACGCTTTTAGATACATTGTGCTGGATCACAATACCTTTTTTTCCTCTTTTTTTCTTATCATTTATTTCATACTTCATATATATATACACACATGGAGTTTTTCATATAAAAGAAACTATGCAATATTTAAGCTTGTGTGTGTAAGTTACTTCATTAACAGTATGGTCTTAAGGTGCATCCATTTTCCTACAAATGATTCAAGTTTATCCTTTTTATAGCAGAGTAGTACTCCATTGTGTATAAATACATTTTCTTTATCCATTCATCTGTTGATGGACATACAGGCTGTTTCCAAGATTTAGCTATTATGAATTGTGCTGCTGTAAAGAGAAATATATATATATATATATCACCACTGTGGAACCATGTCTTTAACTCTTGGGAGGATACCTAGGAGGGGAATAGCCAGGTCAAGTGGAATTTGTTTTTAATTTTTTGAGGAATCCCTACAATGATTTCTATAGCGATTGTATCAGTTTGCAGTCTAACCAACAATGTAGAAGGGTTCCTTTCTTCCCACAGCCTCACCAGCATTTTTTATTGATTTGATTTCTTCCTGGAGTGAGATGCAATCTCTGGGTTGTTTTAATTTGCATATCTCTAATGGCCACGATAGTGAACATGTTTTCATGTATAATATTTATTGGCCATTTGTTTTTCATGTGAGAAGTATCCATTCATTTCAGAAGCCCATTTTTTTAATTGGGTCCTTAATTTGAGTCTAATTTTTCTGAGTTCTGTATAGATTCTAGATACTAGTCCTTTGTCTCAAGAGTAGCTGGTAAATTTTTTTCCCCATTCTGTAGGTTGTCTCTTCACTCTCCAGCACTTCTCACTTCAATGAAATTCCATTTCACCTGGGCACAGTGGCTCACACCTGTAACCAATAGCTGGGGAGGCTGAGGCAAGGGGATTAGAAGTCTGAGGCCAGCCTGGGCAATGAACTCAGTGAGACTCTGTCTCAACAGAGAAAATAAAAAAGGGCTGGAAGTGTAGCTTATTGCAAAAGTCCGGGGTTCAAACTCCAATACCACAAGAAAAAACAAGGGCATTTCAATTGACACTATAAGGCCTGGTTCAAAATACAGTGAATACATTGTTGTTGCTGTTTACTTATTAAAGTAAAAGACATTAATACCCTTCAAAATAGTCCCTCTTGCTTCAAACATGTGTATCTCATCATTCTTGCCATTTCTAACGCGGTTCTTGGTGTCTTTTATTATGAGTGTCTTTAGTTACACTGTCAAGGCAGCCTGATGTCCTGGATCAATTCACGACGTTTCACTTTCATAGTCACTTTCACTCTGGGGAAGGGCCAGAGTCCCATGGTGCCAGATCTGGTGAATGAGGTGGATGAGAGCACACTGTCATGTACTGAAGAACCTGTCTTTCCACTGGAGGACCCTTGGCAACAGTATTCACTGTATTCTGATCACACCTCATAAAGACACCCATGAAAGAGGACTTTCAGATCTGCTTCAGAAAGTGGCTGGGTAAGTGAATTTGAAGTGTGGAAGAGTATTCTGAGGGAGAGTAATGGCAATGTATCTTTTTACTGTAATAAAATTTTAAATATAAACATTCACTGTGTATTTTGATCATACCTCCTGTGACCACCAAAGAAAACTATTGGCGTTTTCTAGTGAATGCAATAAAAATAGACTCTGTTAGAGTATTCGATTTATATTTATTTTCAAATAATGGTTTATAATATCAAGTGACTGCTGACCTTCCAAAATCAAGGGTGAACAGACTAAAAAATAGTTCTCTGTACTGTGACCTGAACATTTCTCTCTTCCCTTCCTTTCTACTTGCCTATGTCTCCTCCTCACTCTCTCGGCCCCTTCTCTCTTCCTGTTTCTCCCCCACAGAAATACTGCTTGCTTTTAAATTTTACCTCCAGTTGCTATAAATAAATCTGGAACCTTTGCCTTACAGTTGTGTTTATGCTGTGGGTTTCTGGTTCATCAAGGGTCTTGTTGCCCACTCTTTTTTGTCAGAGAAACACCTTTGCGGCTTGATCACAACAGACATGTCTTTGAAGATCAGTGTATTTCCTGCCTGTTTTATTCTTACCGCAGCTCAAGGGTTTCACATCGTGCCTGAATACTCATCAAACTGCCTTCCATCACGCGCTGCTCTCATGCCTTCATCGTTTAAGTTATATTTATGTATGATCTCCTTCTCATACAGGGCCTTGAATTCTGCTTTCGCATATTTTATCATCATTTAGAGTAAAATATTCTAGACTCTTTAAATGGCAAGATTGTGGAATGGTATTATTTTGAACTAAATGCTTTTATTTCAAAGCGCAGTTTTGGGGAAAAGATGGGAAAGTCTTTCATTTCTCCTTAAAAATTATACGTGTATCCCCTCCTGCAAGAACGGCCCAACTGCAGCTTTACAGCCCAGGGAGGCAAGTGCTTCCGGCAAGACACAACCTGTGCCCACTGAGCAAACATCCGCGTCCCGAGTGCTCGTTGAGCCAGTACCAAATCGGAGAGAGAAGACAGGGCTTTAAATGTGTGCCGTTTTGTATGTTAATAGTTTATTTTCCCCTTTTTATGTGCATTTTGCTCCTTTTAACCGGGTGGCAGCGCTGTGAAATAGCACAGGCCTTTTACTCAGTATTTCTCTAACAAGCCAACCCGGTACAAACAGGACTTTTATATCCGTTTGTAAATTTTAGTGAAGGGTGGCTGAGTTGAGAGAAAGAAAACAAAAAGACAAATACTACATTTGTGTAATGTTTAATTCATATCACTTGCACAACTCTGTGCTGTTGGCATATGTCTCAATAAACAGGCTTCAAAAAGAAGTTATTGCAGTGTAAAAATTGTTTCCCTGAATTCATGCCCTTTTACTGTTCCCAGGTCTCAAAGTGGCTTTTAAAGGTATTTTTTTCAGACTCTCAGCCGCGTACCCGTCCGGGGACAGGGTCTGTTCCTCCGCCCGCCCCCTGGAGGACGGCTGGAGAGAAACTGAGACAGCTGGGCACCATTCTAGCGGAGCCAGGCCCGACCTGAGATCCACTTTTGTTGCCAGAGAGAAAGTAACGTGAGAAAATCAAGGGCAGAAAGACTAGGGAGTTTCGGCCAGACAGTAAGGGCCCGCAGAGACAAACAGATCCGTTAACAGGTCACCCGATAAAAACGCGCGCCCGGCGCCCTGCTCTGGGCAGCGGTAACGCGGCCCTCAGCGCTGCCCCAGCTGCTGCTGCTGCCACCGCCTGGAGACCGCGATCTCCGCCGCGCGTCTGCTATCGCTCATCTCCACGCCCCACCCGTTACCCATGATCGGTCTTCTCTGGGTATGTGTATGCGTGTACATCTGTGTCTGCGTGTGTAGTGGGGATCGATCCACTGAGCCACATCCCTGGCCCTTTTTGAGACGGGGCCTCACTCGACTGCCCAGACTGGCCTTCAACTTGCAATCCTGCCTCCGCACCCAGCCGGCACACTTTTCTTCTTCGGGTAGCTTTAGGAATATTCTCTACAGTAAAAAACAAAAACAAAACCCTCCATACAATCCATTACTGCACACTGAAACTACTGTAGATAAAAACGTTCTCCTCTAGGAATATGTTGTAGAGTTTCAATTTCCTCGCTGGACACAAAACAACTGCAACAACTCAGCAGACAGCCTACTACAGCACAAAACAAAAACATCCTCCACTGCTCTCCCCAGAACCCAGGGAGCGTGGATTCTGTAATCCTCTACTTCAAACCCTGGGACAAGTTCTCAATACTCTTGTCTCTTTAAAACGAACAAAGCGGCCAGAGGTTTAGCTCAGTGGTTTCGCTGCCTGTTGTGCAAGCGCAAGGACCGGAGTTTGATCCCCGGTACCAAAAATAAAATTTTTTCAAAATAATAAAATCTTAAAAGACGAACACAGGTTTAAACCATCTAAACTGTGATTAGGAAATACATGCTAAGGGCTGGGGATTTAGCTCAGTGGTTCCACTGCCTGCCTCGCAAGCGCAAGGACCCAAGTTCTATCCCCGGTACCAAAAAATAAAATAAGAAATACGTGCTAAGCCAGGTGTGGTGGCGCATGCCTGCATCCCCAACACTCAGGAGGCTGAGGCAGAATTGCTGGGAATTCGAGGCCAGCATGGGCTACATAATGAGTTTGAGGCCAGCCTCAGCCTGTCTCAAAAGAAAAACAAAGAAATGCATGCTAGTTTGGGAAAATGTGTATAGCACAGTGTTAATGAAAAACTGCTAGTTACATGGCCATTATCTAAATAGAACCCTTTGTCAGAAATGGCTAAACCAGTACTGGGAATATAGCTCAGTGGTGTTCCATTGTCCTCAGCACCTCCCCCCACATACACTGCCTTTGGGGTTCTGGCAGAACTTCCCACTGAAGATCTGGCATGTGGGTTCAGCTTCAGTTTAAGTCCATGGCTGAGAGAACTCCAACCTGTCTCGGCTGCTCTCAGTCTGCAGTAGTGAAAGCCATGACCTTGTTTCCCCTCCTACTAGACTGGACATTCTCCCTTTCCTTCACTATGGCTCTCCAGAGTGCTTGTGGGGATTATCTGATTCCTTAAGCCTGAATCTATGCTGAAAACTATACTCAATTAGGAAGGAAGAATCTAGTTCCATTTTAAGGGCTAGTTTTGTCTTCAAGACTTAACAGATGCTTCCAGTTTACTAGGATTTGTAACACCTGTCTATATGCTTATATGCTTGTTTCTCAACAATCCAGGTAAAAACTGACAAACTCTTCCGTTTATACAGCCTTTTTACAAGTTCTCTGTGGGAGTTGATTCATTTAAGCATTTAAAAAGCTTATCAGAAATGTTTTATAGACTCAAGACCAGATAAAAAGAAAATGGAACACTTACCCCGAGGGGTCACACAACTCTGAGGTACACAGCTCAGGATTCTGAGTATGCACCAATTTCCAAAAACTATTTTCTCTAAAAATAAATGAAGACATCTCCTGCCTGGAACTTCAGCTTTAATGGCTCCCTCATGAATCCTAAGTCCTTCAAGCAAGTCACAACTTTATAGCTGCAGCTACATTTGAGCTGAGCTTTCAAAGAGGAGCTATCCAGATCAAAGGCCCTTCCAAAAGGAAGCAGAAGGGACTGAGGTCATGATGGGATGAGCATGATCAGAGACCAGCTAGAACTGAGGGTGCTCTCAAGTCTTTAGCTTGGGGATTTGGTAGGAATAAGAGATAATCAAATACTTGGTGTACAATGGTATATACCATAGATGTTCAACAGCTCTTGTCTAACAAAAGCATTTTTATGATAAAGCTCACTTTCAGGCATACAAAATTTGAGGCACAAATGGGCAGCTGCCAGACTCACACCCTGGAACTCACTGGAGTGGAAACAAACTTGCAGGTCCCAACCTCTACACTGGGAATTATTTGCAATTGAAATGGTGGAAAGCGACAAACAAGGGACTGAAGTATGGCAAAGGCTAAAGACACAAGAGTACATTAAAACAAAACCCTGGATGTCAAAAAAGGACTGAGCCATTCCTTTTGACCACCGGGAGGCTGGTAGCCACATTAAAACCAGTTTAAACATAAGGACAGTCAGAAAACTGATTCGAAACTTTAGTATGATTTTGAGAAATATAATCAGTAATTAGAGTGAGATGAAGCTAAGTTTAGGATGTTTCCCAGGATCAATGTGACTTTATATAAAACAGTTCTAAAAAAATATTTGGTGTTTTACATGCGAGGTGATATATGTGTGATCAACTTAGATGGGTGCAAGACCCAGCCTCAAAAACAAAACAAAGATCCCACAAAATAAATTGGAAAAACTGATTCCAACAGTGAGAAGTTAACACTGCAACAAATCTATTGGCCTAAAAGCTTTCCTAGCACCAATTTTCGTGTGAGACGTATTTCCTAAACAGCAGATTTTGTTAACCATGCTATTCAAACAGCAAATTCCCTAAGACTGGCAGATTCCCCTTTTAGGCAACTACTCATTTCTTCCTCCCCCAAACACTGCCAGATACAAAGGCAGTTCAAATGTTTAATCATAGGAAATTTGTTCAAAGCAAAATCTTTTTCCTTAAACAAGCTAAGCAGCATTAAGATGAAGACTAAATTACAGTACATCATGTTTCACCACCCAAGTATTTCAGCTGTGAAGCTGCTGGCATCACTTGAGGCACTCAACCCACCCTTTTTTGGGGGGGAGGGGGGTATAAGGATCAAACTCAGGACCCTGTGCCTGAGAGGCAGGTACCCTGCTGCTGAGCTAAATCCCTGGCCCCAAATCCATGTCTGTAACACCAAGCTTCCTGGAAAACCTTTCTGCCATGCTGGGAGATGACCGTAGTACTTAAAAACACCCAGGTTAAGCAGCACAGGTTCCACCCTGGCAGATGAAGACTAATACAAGCACGCAACTCCTCACTGGAATAAAACAAGGGCTCAAGACACAAGGGTTTTTTTGTTTTTGGTACCGGGGATTGAACTTGGGTCCTTGCGCTTGCACAGCAGGTGGCAAAACCACTGAGCTAAATCCCGGGCCCTAGACACAAAGTTTTCACCAGACTGATTCAGCCTTGAAATTCACTGGTTATTTTCTCCATGGAGGTTTCCTTGTGTACTGAAGACATCTCTTGCTTCAGTACAAATCAAGTCAAGGTAAACTGCAGCATCACACATTCTGAGCAGCAGAGCCTGAAGCTGACCTTGCTTACTGGTACTTTTCTGGCTGGCCTAGCTATATTGTGTATCATTGTCACCCCCTCAGCTCAGCCTTTTCCTGCAGGTTTTAGGGTGGTCTACTCGGTGACAAATACCCACTCCCATCATCACCTCCTGCCTTACAACAGGTCCACCTTGGCGTAGGGTGCTCATCTTTTCAGCACTAAGGTTACTGAATAGGCTTTCGCCTAGAAACCCAGAGATCAAACCAAATTATCCTAATAGCCATCTGCAATGTTACTTTTCCTTCCACTAATACAGACCTTATTTTATTGTCCCAATAAAAAGTCAGAAAATGAAGTGAGCCAAAATTTTTATTCATTCATTTCTTGCATTTGAAGTATTCTTCAATGACATCCTTGGCCTGAGATTCTTTGCCATAGTCCTTTAAAAAAAATTACATGCATTTCTTATTTAATTTCACTAGTTCTTACCACAAGTTGTACTGAAGTTTTAATGTCTTGTAAGTTTTCCATCATTAAAATGTGTAGCCATTTTCAGGGACCTTAATGACTGTGATATCATGTCCTTAAGGCTCGTACCATGGCATTACTATTGCCAACATTTTCTAAATTTCTGCACAAACACATACAGATAAGCAGATTCAATAGCTGGCTTTTAAATTATAGCTTATTAGAACATTTTTAACCTCTTTAGTACTACATTATTCCTCTTAAAAGGTCTTCAAAACTTCAACACAAGGCTTATAAACAGCTAACCAGCAAAATCTTCATCCCAAAGACGACACTGACTTACCTTAACCACCACACAACTGCAACCAACCACTTTTCGGGGTTTTCCCTCTCGGTCAATTTTACAGAGGCCTACCCATTCCCCTAGTTTCTTGTTGTCATCAACCTATTTGGTAATTTAAACACAAAAACATTGTATTAGTAGGCAGTAGCGTTACTGACAAAGTTAATTAGGCCTCAAAGGCAGCTGTAGTCAGAAGGGTGACATGGCATTTTCCTCAACCACAGTTCAGCAGAGGGAGCCAGTTGTCATCACGTACAGCACCACATCACTATGCACCCCAACTTCTTGTCCTAGTTTCTAAATTTGCACTTAGTTCTCCAGATACAAAAAGCTTTGCTACCTTAGCTTGAACATCAGACCCCTGAAACGTGTCCATCTGCAGAACCAACCAGCCTCAGACTGCAACTGTCCTAACGTTTGACCCCTGACTGGGCCACTTTTGACATCCAGGATAAACCAACTCACCTTAATTAGGTTGATCTGATGCTCAGCACAAAGGGCCTCCACTAACTTTACATACATAGGCTCATCACAGTTGGATGCAAGCACACAAAGATGGGCTTGGCGCCTGAAACACAAAATGCAACCATAATGAAGCCCAAACTCCAGCTCTAAGTCCACTATCCTAGTATTTTAAAGGGTTATCTCTGCATTGGCCACGCTGGCAAGCTATAAGCAACACACCCATTAATAAATACACCAAAAATGTGTATGAAGCTGCTCCAGTGTGACAAACCTGTTAGACCACAATTCAGTTACAGACACTGGAATACTAATCTTCAGTTAATCTTCCCCCAAAACATGCTTGTATAGGCAAAGTAAAAAATTTGTGGCCAAGCTGTCAGTTTTATACATCTGAAGGCCTGTTATGCTAAATGCAAACTACCACAAACAAGTTTTACATTAGACATAAAAATCATACTACACAATACTGCCAAGGCAGATAAAATACTACAGAAAATTTCATGCCAAGACTTGACTTAGCATAACTAGGGTACTGTCTCCACTGCATTCAATGGGCCAGTTTACCCCAGTGTGAATTGTACTGACAAAATCTAACTGGCTTGAAGCCCTTAAAATTCATGAAAATTCTCATCAACCATTAACACATACATGTTTTCTTTTGCCACATGTAGTCAACCCTAACATCAGAACTAATCAAAACCAAATATATTAAGCATTCCACAAATGATTCCCATAACTATTGTACTCGCAAACACCAGTGTAACCTGCCATTAGTTTAACATTTTGATTAGCTAACTGCTGTATTAAATAAGGTTCCTCATCTATCTCGTCAACGTAAAATTCACTCCATAATCTACAGGTTTGTCAGACTGTTCATGTTTCACTCATCAAAGGAGTGAAGGGGTATCCGACAATTTTAAGTCATCATTCAAACACTGTAGTTTTTTAAGATCTACTGCTCAACCCCATTCCAAAACAACAACCCACGTGTCTTAAGTGGGCTACATACGTAGATCTGAATTCTGATACCTTTTCCTAGGTTTCCTGTTGAACGGATGCCATTCAGAACTTTTGTGCTAACACCGTGAACTTCACGCTTTCTTCCCTTGGTTGTGGGTTTTGTTCCGGTTGCAACAACCCACAGTATTGAGACTCACGCACGTACTTGTCTAAGGCTTTGGCAGCTTCGCGAATTCCACGTGCTAGGCCGTCGTGGATGAGGGCGGTCTTCAGCACCTCTTGTAAAGCCGTGTTGACGTCCATTACACCTCCAGCAGCAATGCTGAAAAGCGACAACACAAAACCATCACGTAAGTCCTCGCAGCATCTAACGCCTTGGGCTTGGCACAAGCACTGGAGATACACGAAAAGCGCGCTTGCAGCAGCTCCCCAGACTCAGCCCCGCAGGGGCCAGGCCTTACCCCCACGCCAACCCCGGACATTGGGGCCACTCACCCTTCCTCGGCCATGGCGGCGGGTTACGGGTGAAACCGAATCTTAAACACACTAGGAAAAATAGTATAGCGTTAACCTCAAAACCAAACATTTAACACCTATTTGAGAAAAACATCACCAAACCAGGTTCCAGAAACGCCACATTCCCGGGCCAACTCACCCCGCGCCTCCGCCTCCGCGCGACTGGGCGGCGGCAGGGAAAGAGGCTGCATGCGCCCGCCGGACGCTATTTAAAGGTTTTGCTGGCCTCCTGTGCGCATGTGCACGTAGTCCCACGAATAGGGTGGCTCTTTCAGTGCCAGTCCTCGAGAGGGTCTGTTTCCGCTTTGGGGCCGTTGTAAAGGAAAAAGTACTACGAGTTCTCAGTCCCTGCCCCATCGGGCTTTGGCGCGCGCGACAGGCACCAGCATAGACAGCCTCCCGCCGGTCGTCTCTGTTGGAGGCGGGGCCAGCGGAGGCCCAGAAAACGTCTAACGGGGGCCGAGAGGACTCAAACCTCCCTGTCCGCGTTGTCTGTAGGAATTGCTTTCCACACCACGTTGAAATTTCCTTTCGGCTCCACCGACTGAGCCTTCTTGAGGGGCGCACTTTGCCCTTTTGAGTGAACGTGTCATTCTGTGGGCGATCCTGATCTTTGTTTCCTGAGCCAACCAACACGTTTTCGCTACTTCTTTTTGGGTTTTTTGAGACAGGGTCTTGCTATGTAGTTCAGGCTGGCCTTGAACACACTCTGTAGCCCAGGCTGAGCCTGACTCGCGGCGACCTTCCTGCATAGGCCTTGGGGGTGCTAGGCTTACCTGCGCCCCCCCCCCCGCGCACACACACACACACACACACACACACACACACACACGCATACCCTGGCTCCTGTTTTCGCAGCTTTTATTAAGCACTTGTCAAATCCCATTTTGCCGGGCGGTCGCTTCCGGGTCCTCAGTTTGTTTCTGTTTCCGGCGCGATGCGGGATGCATCCGTCGCACCCGAAAAGGCCCCAGTGTGTCTGGCAGGGGAATTTGGTGCTTGGAGGAAAGAGACGACGTGGCGTTTGCGAAATCCGACCCTGCTCTTTCCAGGATTTGGCGAAGTTAGGGTTGGAATTCCAGAACCTCATCTCGATTGTTTTGTTTTGTTTTGCTTTGTTCTGGACGAAAGATGTTTAATTTTGAAGTGATTGGCCTTTCTCCTGCCCCCTTTCCACAGCTGATGCGCCAAACAGCTGACTATAATCCGCACTGTCCTTTTTATCTCCTTTTAACGTCCTCTTCTGAGAGTCACCAAGCCAGTCAGCAGTTACAGGGGCTACCCCTGGGTACACAGCGAACGATGTCAGATTCACGAGTGCCCCGGGACAGACAGCAGGAGTTTTGTAAATTGATAGCATTCGTTTTTTAGCTTTTCAGCTGCATCGAGTTTTCATTTTTAAAAGTGTTGAGATTCCTTCTCTCCGTCTGTAACTCACCCAATTGTTTATTGAGCTTTGCTCGAAAAGATAAAAGCTTGGCCCCATTTCCTTTTACAAAAGGTCTATCTACATGTTTCTTATTATCTTTTGTTTTGCTCTTTATCTATACTTTGAGTTTCTCCTGTAAGAAAAACCATTATATATGTAAGCATGATGAGAGGGGACGGAGAGGAAGGGAAGAGGATGAAAAAAGAACTAAGCTGCGTTATGCACACGCACCGACTGCTTATGAGGAATGTAAACATGTACTGCAAGCTGTACTAATAAAAATCTTATAAATAAAATAAAAAGTGACGATCCTGTCACTGCTTTTTTGAGGTGAGATTAAGATTCAAGCCTGAGATTAGGACCACCTCAGTGCTTCCAGGGAGGAACAGAGAGGCTTGGGTGAGCTGGTGGGGGTGATGTGGACAGAAAGGTAAGGGGACTTTGAGTTTAGGGCAGCGTTTGGGACTAAGGGCTTCCAAGCACGGGAGCGGAGAAGAGAAGGTGCGATTCTAAAGAACAGCGGCAAAGGCATGGATGCCTTCTTTGCTTTTTTTGGAAGTTACCTTAAAACATTTGTAATATTTGAGAAAGAATGTAGTAGGTAGTGTTTCAGCACTTTTCTCATGATCTAAGCTCAGTAAAAGGGCCGGGGATTTAGCTCAGTGGTTCTGCCGCCTACCTCACAAGCACCAGGACCTGGTACCAAAAACCAAACAAACAAAACAAAAATAAACTCAGTAAAAGTTAAACATAATTAGGTTTCTAACCCTCCCCACCCAAATCTTCTATAAAGAAGAAACAGGGAACTTGGTAAAATGGTGAGAAATGTAAATGGGGAGATGTGAGATCGTGGGAAATTAAATGTAGACTATCATCAAGCAATGCCATTTATGTGAAAGAAAAATGATGCACTGCTTTTTAGCTTGTTTTAGGGCTGTTTTTCTCAGCATAGAACAAATTACTTCAGACCTGGTTTCTCTTTCATAGTAGCTCCTCATCTGTTGATTCAAATGCCATGGTCCTCTGCTCTAATAACTGCCTTTTTTATCAGCCACAAACCTCTCTCCTTAGAACTGGTGTTAAAAGTCTGTATATAGGGGCCGGGGATTTACCTCAGTGCTTCTGCTGCCTGCCTCGCAAGCACAAGGACCTGAGTTCAATCCCCAGTACCAAAAAAAAAAAAAAGTGTATATGAAAAAAGTCTGTATATTACCAGTTCTACCCCCAAAATTAAAGGGCACACTTGTGATACAAGGGCTCATTAATACAGGTTCTTCTAGCTCCCTCTTTAAAGTTTACCTCTAAATTTTAGATGTTGGCAAAGGTGGAAAGAAATATAAGTGGTCACTTCAAGGCCCGCCTGGGCTACACAGCAAGAACCCTGTCTCAAAAAAGAAAAAAAATACTAAAGAAAGGATCTGTAGAACAGATTAAGTGATAGAAAGGATCTTTGATTTTAACTGCAGAAAACCCTTTGAAAACCTTACTTGGCAGGCGCTGGGTGGGGAGGTTGGTTGGGTGCATGTTCGTTATTTTTTTTCTGTGTTTGGTTAGGCACAGCTAAGCTGAGTTAAAAATTCCAGCTCACTTTGCAGCTTCTAGCAAACTACATTTCCATATGGTAGTGATACTGCTAGAATGCTGTTGTGAGGGTTAAATGAGATAGTTGTTTTGTTAAGTGTTTACCGCTGTGCCTGTGAAATAGAAATGTATCATATAAAGAAATTCCTATGGAAAGGTATTTAAATATTTCTCCTGTCCTAAATTGCCCAGCTCTTGGTATACTCTTTTGCATACTGGATTCACTGAAAGTGTGTATTGAGTGAATTCGTTTAATTAAATAAGATTAAAGATGCATATGGCTAAATTCCGTTCCTAAAGGAAAACCCTGGTGAATGTTATCATAAATTAGCATCTGCTGAGTTACATAGTTGGAGGCTTTCAGTATTCCAAGTGACCTTTGTTTGTTTGTTTAAAGACTTAAAATCTCCCTATGTCAGGGGTAGAGACTAAGCACCAGACAGTGGATGGAAAAGAGTCTTATGCAGTAGCAGAAAAGTATTAATCTCTAGTAGCTCAGGATAAGTCTCACCCTCATTTGCTATCACATGTACTGTACTGTAGTTTTAAACACACTAAGTAAAAATTAGTCATAGAATAAGAAAGGTTTGTGTAGAATCTCATTGTATCAAAGAAAGAATCAAAGGAGAGAAAAATTGGTAAGAAGGAAGATAATTAAAAAATAAGAAAGTCGATGAGTGAGTAAAAGCAGGGAAATAGATCAACAAAGACTGTCAGTAATCTTGCAGCTTGTAAAGTTACTATATTACAGCTCTAATTGCAAAACCCAGTTTATTAATGAAAAAAGGTTATAGAGGACAATGGAACTACACAATTGCATAGCCATGTATGAAACTGCTGCATAGCCAATAGTTTATGTATCTTATGTGCTCTGTGTAATTTTCATCTAAGTGTCAGAAGGCTTCCCAATGTCGATGTAAATTAAAAAGAAAAACAGGTTTTCTGAAGAATAGTCATATTTATTTGGGAATAACACTACAATGAGAATCACAGAGCCTTTCAATGGGAATGTCCAAGGAGGCTGAGGCAAGTTAAAGAGTTAAAGAAAAGCTAAAGACAAAAAAAAAAGAGGACTATGTCAGATATTTTGAAACAGAATGCTTGGCCACAAGGAGTCATAACAAGAACACGTCAGCCGAGGTGGAATAGGCAGTTGCCAAGCAGTTGTCCTTGTCCGAGTGCTCTTTGTACAAGGCTGCAGTGGCCTCTGTCGGAGCTGATGGTTCAGGCACCCTTTTGCGACAGTCATCATGAGAGCGTCAGCCAAGGAGCCCTTCCTTAACAACCTCCTGCCTTTATTTACTTCTTTTCTGTTAGTGTTGACGTAAGGAGCTCTTTCTCAGTTCTGGCAATTTTCCCATCATACGTGCTGAGGACAAGACCTCTCCCTCCTGTTGCTTAACTGCCTGGGAACAGCAGGGTTGAATCAGAGTTCATGGAAACTGAACATGCTCCTGAAGATGACTAGAGAGAACAGTTAATGTTCATAGCTAAACTCATTATAAACCAGCGATGTGATAATTTATGACTGAAAATGGAAACAGTGGTGAATGGAGCAAAGTATAACGTTAAAATTTTTTCCTTTGGGATAAGAGGAGGGCCCGAGTGTATGGGACTCCAGCCCTCCTGCTGCTTCCTATAGGATGGCTCTGCTGGCACCTTTGTGACAGCTGTGAAAATGGGTTCTGAGGCTCTGAAATGTGTTTGATAATAACATTTTTAAAATTTTTATGTTAGTTTTATTTAAAGGCTGTTAACATGAAAAAGAAGATACACAACACAGCTTACATTATGATCACCAAGGCAGTGTTCTACATGACAAAAATCAAAACAAAACAAATTTATGAAATAAATATACCAGCACTGAAAACAGTGCTTGAAATTTAATCTAAGCTACATATGCATAAAATGATCTGACCACAGGGTTATGCAAAATAAAAATTTTTTAGAACACCAGAATGCCTTAAACTGCCTTACTCCCCTGGTGAGTATTTTGAGAGAATTTCTATATGACATGAAAAGAATTGACATAACATTTAAATACTGCAAAAATAGAACATGGTTAAAAACATTTATAATGCAATTCTGTATAAAATATACACAATCTTATTAAAAAATTTACAAACAAAAGACCACCCCAAATAATGGTTAAAACCTCATCAAGAAAAATGCTCATTTGTATATCATTGGGAGAAAACTGGTAAGATTTTTGCTGAGGGGAACAAGGAAGAAATCTAATGAAGTCATTCATTTAAAATTTGTTCAAAAATGTTCATAAAGTTATAAATTTCTGCTTATACCATCTTAAAATATTGTACCATTA